TTTTATAGCTTTTCTTTCTGCTCCTGAGTCTCAACTTGCATATGTAGTAGCTACTTGGCCTACCCTTTTAACTGTTGTTTCCAATTTGTTTTATAACCAGAAAATCAAACTCATTGATTTATGACAAAATACAAGTAAAGAAGCTGGCCTGAACACCTAAGAGATTCCTTGACAACTTGGACTTTGTGAGCATTACTTTGCTGCTAAGGGGTGTTTTTTGTTGGCCTTCAGGTTCTTAGCTGTATTTTACAGAAGTGAAAGATGCTGCCAAAAAAATGATTGTTCAGAAACACAAGATAAAAATGTATCCTCGGAGTATATTTTAGTTGGAGGCTTCCATTAAGTCCTTTTAGTGAAAATATGATTTAGTACCAGGAACAAGTAAATACTGCTTCTTAAATTCACCATGAACCTCAGTATCATCATTACGCTATGACCCCAAACTTAGATTATAAATTACTTTTTCAAAGAAAAAAACAATAGATTTGGTGTCTTCTTAAATTCTTATTTGAACAAATTCACTGTACATACCAGACCCCTGAAAAATTGCAATTTACAGAGACTTAAAGATTTTTTTTAGGGTTCTTTCATATACAAACACCCAGCAGTAATGTATGTATTTAATACTTGTTCATGATTTTCTGAGTAAAGAGAATTTTCTTGGCCCAATTTGAAGTAATGCTTAACTATAGTTAGGGTAGGCCTGTGAGATGGATTTATATGAAGTACCTCGTTGAAGTGTTGCTCTAACCTTCTCACCTGTGTGAATCTCACTCCCTTACTCTCCCTCCTCGTCAACACAGGTCCCTGATATGATTGCAGATGATTTCTCCACCTCCAGCCTCTTGCAGTTATATCTTGGATGGCCTCAGCTCATCCAAATTAGCTAAATAGTAGGTGCTTGGAAATAACAACCAAACTCTTCATGTCTTCTCTATAATGTCCACTAGTGACTTCCATGACATCTGAGTTTAGTGCTCTCTTCAATTACAATGGGCTTACCTTGGTTCTTGCGATTGGAAGTGGAGCGCCTGTGATTTAGTGTGTGTATAGAGAATGACTGCATGGCTTAAAAGCATGGGCTAGGTAATCCCTAGGCTTTTCTGAGCTCAGCAGCTCAACCGCACACAGACTCATGAGTACATTACTGCAGGAACACCGCATTTTCTTCTCAAATGAAATGCCCATTAGCACATCCCCACAGCACTCTGTTTTCTCTACAAGACTAGAAAAATCACGGGAAGAAGCTGAGCTTATTTAAAGCTCTTTTAATTATGGTGACTAACCTAGCTGATATTGTTATTTGAGCCAAAAAATATATAATGCCACTATTCAGAAGTTTTTTCCCTTAAAATGACAAATATCTTTATAGCAACAAATTGTTCCTGACCTGGAAAATAGAAATTCTCAAAACATCTTATGTATGATCTTATGTGTCATTGACTTGCCTCCAGGATATTTTACCTTTTATTCACATTTTAATAAAATATTAGCAGGGTGGGTTAAAGGAATGTGAAATCAATAAAGTTTTCAGGATTAGGGACATTAAAATTATTTCAATTTTGAAAAGAATTTGCTGGCTCCAGTTGCCTGTTATACAAATGACATATGACGCTAACTGAATCTTCTTTTAAGATCTACAGAAAGCTAGAGCTGGTAGAGGGGTCTAAGAGATTTGTGTTACCTCAGTTTGAGTATCTTGGTTAATGAGATCAAGGCAAAAGTTTGATCCCAGTAAACTCAGGGCCATGATACTGACCCTGAGAACAAATGTCCTACTGCTTGTATACCATTCTCATGACTGACTACCCTTGAGTATTAAGGGTTGATATTTACACCAACCAACTTTAGATGGTGGACAAAAACAATAAAGTACAGTGGTTAAGTGTGTAAGCATTACAATCTGATGATCTAAATAGTTGGGTGACCTTTGGCATGGTACCTAACCTCCTCGTGCTTTACTTGATACTAAGAGTGTACACAAGTTTATTGCAGAAAAAAACTCCAGGTATTGTAAACAGAAGGAAATATAATACCGGGAAATAATGCTCTCAAAATTGTTGGAAGAACTGGAGTAGTGGCAGTCAGGGGAGCCAGCAATGGACCATAGATTTCAGGGCCATGTCATCATTACTGAATCTGTAGGACATGAAGCTTCTGTTTCTGAAGCCACAGCTTCCTCTCACCCCCACAAAGCTGATGATCAACATGTGGGATTCTCTTCAGAAAACATATCCACTTGATCTTATCTGCTAGCACAAACACTAGCAAGCAAATAGCCACCACCTCACTTCTATATTCCATACCTTGGGCCATGCATGGCCTCTCACTGGTAGAACTTGTTCCCTCCGGTACCCTAGCTATGTGGGAATCTAGTCTTTAGATGCCTAACACAACCAATATAGGAATGCTCATGGAAAAGGATGTAAATAGATACTAAATATAATAGACCAGAATGAGCTCATGACACCTACATCATTGACTTGCTGTAAGGATTGTATGAAGAGAGTATGGCCAAAGCACATTGCACAGTGTCTGGAATACAGCACTCAATATTTGTATGGTTATTTATATTTATATGGCTGTTGTATTATTGAAACTAAGATATCCGGTGAGAATTAAATATCTCTTACATGGTTCTTCCCTAGCAGTGGGATCTCTCCCTTTTGGGGCAACCTTCCCAAATTAATTCCTAGGTATCTAAGGTCCTATCTCAAAGTCATATCATTTTCCTCTTGCTCCCAACCTGCTCCAGGCTTTTCTAAATTCCCAGTTTGTGTCTATCTTTATCCCTCAATATATCTTAATCTGGCAAAATGTATCCCCTGTTCTTTACCACTATAGTCCAAGTTATTAGTCAATAAATAAATAAAAACTCTCCTTTCTTCAAGGGCAGAGAGAGCCCCATCTTCAAACATTCCTAGGGTAAGAGGAAATATTTACCTTCTTCAGATGTCTAATGCAGCAAAAAGGGAGAAAAATAAAATAGTTTTCTATCAATATTGAAGCAAGTTGAAAGAGTATATCCTGACAAATAGTTATAGTTGAATCTTAAATGGGCAAGTATTTCTAAGGTTCCTAAATCAGTATCTAAGCATGTTCCTCCCAAGATCATTAAGACTTAAGGTACTCTCTCCCAAATCAAGATGGAAAACTGAACCTAGATTACTTCCTGCTCTCTTTCACAAAATCCTGTTGAAAAGGCAGCAAAATTTAACAGAAAAAAAACAAAAAACAAAAAAACAAAACTAAGGTAGTAGTGAAAACAGTGAGTGTTGCCATGGCCTGAATGTATCTCCCCAAAATTCGTAGGTCAAAACTTGATCACTGTGACAGTACTGAGTTGGAGCCTTTAGGAGGTGATTAAGTCCTGAAGGCGGAGCTCTTATCTATGGGATTAGTAACTTCATGACAGAGGCATGAGGGAGCTGCTTACCCCCTCCACCCTTCAGTCATGTGAGGACATAGAAGGAGCAGTCCATGGGGAATAGGTATTCCTCAGACACTGAATCTGCTAGTGCCAGTGATCTTGGACTTCCCAGCCTCCAGAATTATGAAAAGTTTGTTTGTTTACAAATTATCCAGTCTGTAATATTATGTTATAGCACTCCAAATAGGTTAAAGAAGCAACATTAGCGGATTGGAGCTTTTTGATGAATTTCTTGAGGATAGAAAATGGAGATTGGATAGATGGACAAACTGAGTAGCAGAAAGAAAAGAAAAGCACAAAAGGAAGACTTGGCAGGATGAGTGTTGTTTTCCTGGAAGAGCCAGGCTCCAACTGGGGCACCTGGGGCAAAGAATGTTCCTCCTACTCCTCAGCCTCTTCTCATGCTGAGCAAAACAGAGACTTATGGGAAGTGATGTGTGGGATGAGGGGACCATGGTAAGGGTCAGAGCAGATCTTGAGGTTACTCCAAATCTGCACAGCAGAGAAAGAGAAGGAAAGGCTGCTCAGCCTGCAGGGAAATAAACCAAGAACTTCCCCACCACCCACACAAGAGTAAAGATGCTTTATTTTTGGCAATTGTGAGTGTTAGATCTAAGTTTCTCTACTGTTCCCTAAATGGAGGTCACATGTTGACATGATCTCTCTCATTTCATGGACCCAGTCAGGCAAGAAGCCATAGAACAGATAAAGAAACCATGTTAGTACTAACATACTCCTTCGTACATAAATGTGAATAGCCGACCACTGGATATTTGAGGAAAGCTAACAGCATGAGTTACAAGGAAATAATTAGATTAAAAAAAAAAAGCAGAGCATTTATTCTGAAGAAAACAGATACTATTATATACGGAAGAAACTAAAAATTCAAATTAGTATGCTCTGAGTGTTGGGAGAACTTTGCATCCATAAAATAAGAATATTGTGCTATGAAAAGGGAGCAATGTTAGAAAAACTTAGAAATTAAGAATACTATGACTGAATTAAAAATTTATTAGAAAGTTTGGAAGGAGATCACCTGGAACACAGTAAGCACACAAAGAAATGTAATATATGACCGAAGGCATAAAGCATGGTATATAGGAACTTCAGCATTCTATGAATAAGAATTTAAGAAAGCTATAATGCAGAAACTTGGGGAATTATTATTTTTTCAATGAATGCAAGAAAATTTCCCAGAGTTTTGAGAATTTTACATCAACAAAAATACTGTCAGCTTGAACCAAGAGAGAAGAAAAAATGAAAGAAGGTTGCCAGCCTCCAAAAATTCTACAGACAAGAAATTAATTAAGTGTAGTCTAAAAGAATGATGCAAAAGATCAATAAAACGCAGAGTTGGTTCTTTGAAAAGATAAACACAATTGAAAACCCCTTAGCCAAATTAACCAAAAGAAAGAGGCAGAACACCCAAATTAATAATATTAGAGATGAAAAAGGGAATCTTACAACAGACATCAATGAAATCAAGAGGAATCATCAGAAAGTAACTTTGAAAACTTAGATTGTAATGAATTGGAAAATGTAGAAGAAATTGATATAATGTTGAGGGGTTCTTTTCTGGCCATGTCTGTTTAGGGTTAAATGCCTCTTGTACTTGGATGTTCCTGAAATCTGGGAAATTTTCTGCTATAACTTCATTGAATAAGTTTTTAAAATGCCTTTATATGTATCTACAATTCAGATTCATAGGTTTGGTATCTTTATTTTATCCCAGAGTTCTTCGATATTGTGGGAATGACTGGTTTCTTTTTCTTTATTTTTCTCTGAATGTAGTAATTCCTCAACCTTGTCTTTAGAACATGATATTCTTTCTTTTTGGTTGCCCAAGTCTACTGATGATGGGTTTTATTATTTGACTTACTGAACTTTCTCATTTCCAAGATTTCCATTTGGTTTCAGAATCTTCATCTCTGCTGAATTTCTCATCCAAGTCTTGAATTGACTTTTTATTTCATCCATTTATTTATCTGAATCCTGGTTGGGGTCACTGATAATTATCTAAATGAACTTTTAATTCTTTTGAATTCTTTGTCCAGCATTTCATCCATTTCAGTATCTTTGGATTTAACTATTAAAGAGTGAAGACGTTTTGGAGAAGTCATGTTGCCTTGCTTTTTCATATCTCTTTTCTTTTTATGTTGTGAATTGTGCATCTGTTGGAATGGATATATGTTCCAGTTTTATATGAGGGTCCTCTTAGTGAACAGCCTTCTCTTGAGGGCTCAATCTCCAACACTTCTCAGAGAAGAGAAAACAAACCACTGTTATAGCAACAACACCAAAACAAGCAGGAGATAGAAATACAACATAAACCAATTAAAGACAACTACTGTGCCACACATAACCATAGAAAAGAAAGTATAAAAAATGTAGAATAAACTATGAAATTAAAAAGTAATAAAGGTAAAAAGTAACAATAATGAAACAAGGACAGAAAGGAAGGGGCAAGGAAGTGGAAAAAAATAAAGAAGCAAGGTGAAGTATAAAAAAAGAAGAAGAAAGGAAAAGATTATGAGAAAGAGGAAGAGAAAAGAGCAGGGAATAAGGCTATCTGATTATAAAACAAAAAATATGTAATTACAATTAGGTAAAGGTAAGAAGAAGACTAAAAATAAAACAAATAATTAAAAATAACATTAAAACAATACTAAAAATACAGTGAAAAGAAAAAAGGTTTTAAAAAAGGTAAAAAAATAATGGAGAAGCTTCTTTCAGGGCCCTTTAGTAGTGGGATCTCCCAGGTCTGGGGGAAAGCGGGGCATACCTATAGTTCTAAGGGGTGTCCCCTGAGTGCATTGGAGAGTGAGGGAAGCAAACAGAACACTGGGACCTGAAACTGGCTGGAAGCAGGAGGGAGTGGAGAACCAAGGAAACCAGTCTTCTGCCTGCAGGTCTCAGTGCGTTCAGATCCCACCCAGCAATAAACCACCTGGCAGGAGGAAGCTGGGGAAATCCAGTGATTGGTCAGACCTGGTCTCACAGCTCTCATTTCCACCCAGCAGCTTCAGAGGTCAAGCAATCTGCTAGTCATGGACTCAGACCTCCCTTGAGGGTCAAGGAAAAACTGTGGTAGACACAATAGCTCCTCAAAGATAGCCACATTCCAATCCCTGAAATTTATTTAATTAAAATAGTTAATTTATTTATTTTGGTAGAATTGGAGTTTGAACTCAGGGCTTTGCACTTGCAAAGCTGGAGCCACACCTCCAGTCCATTTTGCTCTGGTTAATTTGGAGATGGGGTGTTTTGAACTATTTGCCTGGGTTGGCCTCAAACCACGATCCTCCCACTCTTAGTCTCCTAAATAGCTAGGATTACAGATGCCCAGCTTCAATCCTTTGATTTTATAAATAGTTTACCACACATAGTAAAAGAGACTTTGCAAATTTATGATTAAGTAAGGACCAGATTACCTAGGTGTACAGAGTCAGTCACAAGGATCCTAGTAAGAAGGAGGCAGGAACATTAGAGATGCTGCTGGCTTTGAAGATGGAGAAAGGCCATGAATCTAGGCATGCAGGTGGCCTTCAGACACTGGAAAAGGCAAAGAAATAGGTTATCTCAATGAACCTCCAGAGGCATACCGCCTTGATTGACTCATTTTGCACTTCTGACTTGTGGAACTATAGTTTGATAAATTTGTGTAGCATTAAGCCACTAAGTTTGTTGTCACTTGGTACAAGCAATAGGAAACTAACACAGAAACTGAAATAAAAAAGTAAAGTTATTCAATAATAAGCCAGATAAATGGAGGTCAATGGAGTTGGGGAGAGGCAGGAAAACTACCTAACCATATCACTGCAGTATTTTAAAACATCAAGGGTGGTGACTAGACCCTAAACTTGGTGGAAGAGGGAGTGAGGGAGTGGGAAGAGGGGAAAAGAGACAGAAGAGAGGGGGACACAATTTGGAAAAAGTAAGTTATAGCTACATTAAATGTTAAAAGAAAATGGAGTGATTCCCAAAGGTCTGAGATAAACTTATTTTGCTTCCTCTAAATACCATAGCCAAATACCATAGCCAAAATTTCTCTCTCTTGCTCTTTTTTTCTCTTTTCTTCTTTCTCTCCTCCCCTCCATTCTGCTCTCCTCACTCTCCTCTCTTCTTCTTTGCTGAGGCTTGAACTCAGGGCATTGCACCCTAGTTAAACTCTTAATCTACCATGGAAGCAAAGCAAAAATCTTTCTAGACATACAAAGATACAAATATTTGCCCTCGTGTGTCTTTTACATTTTCAGGTTTTTTAGGGAGTTACTTAAGGATATGCTCCAGAACACAAGAATGTAAAGCAAGAAAAAGTAAGTCAGACACTGGTGGCTCACACCTATAATCCTAGCTACTTGGGAGGCTAATACCAGGAGGATAATGGTTTGAGGCTAGCCTGAGCAAAAAGTTCATGAGGCCCCATCTCAACCAATATTTGGGCATGGCAGCATGCACCAATCATCCCAGCTATGGTGAGAAGTGTAAAACAGGAGGATAGTGGTCCAGGCCAGCCTGGGCATAAAAGTGAGACCCTGTCTCCAAAATAACCAGAGCACAAAGGGCTGGAGGTGTGGCTCAAGTGGTAGAGTGCCTGCCTATGAAGTATGAAGCCCTGAGTTCAGACAAGTACCACCAAAAATAAAAAAAAGAAAGAGGCAGGCATAGAATTCAGAAACAGTGGCTCCAATTCAGGTAAATAGCACAGAGAAGTCTTAGGAAAATATTTAAACCAGGCTCTGGTTCCCCAGCCCAAACAGGTAGGAGCAAAGTCCCAGAGGGAGAGGCCTTGAGGCAGGCAGGAAATCCCCAAACTACATAGGATGATAAAAGATGGGAAGTCCACGAGACTGTGAAAAAGGCACAGAACACTTGAACGGTGCTGAAGGAACAAAGGAAGTGAAGTATTTAAAGGTGATAAAATTATGATTCAAATAAAAGTAACCAGGAAGCTAGTGGGATTTGGGAAAAATAAAGTAGATTCCAAGCAATAAAGTAGAGAAAGGCCAAATAAGAAGCTAGCAGATAATAGGAATTGTAATGCTGACTGTATATAATTCTTTTCTCAGCAACTAGAAAGAGAAAGGCAATTGAAAATGCCTGAAACACAAGAAAGACATCAGTGAGCGACAAGAAAGGCATGGTTCAGTTATGAAACAAATGTCAGTATGGCATGGTAGTGACCAATTGGTAGAATGTAAGAAAATAAAATTTCATTTCATCACTTTCCCTTGAAGTCATGACATTGGATTCAGACAGGGAAAATGTAACCATTTCTTCTTGGCTCAAAAGAAAAAACATCACATAAACTATAAATCCATGTAGCTAGTTTTTAGGTTTTTTTTTTTTTTTTAAGCTGCCTATGGCGAAAGTGCAGGAAAAAACTTAATTATGGTTTGAAAACAAAGTATCATTTAATCAAGGAACCACAATTTCCTCCCTACCAAAAGAAAGTAGAATTAGCTTGGGCATAGCAGTTACATTATAGGAAAATAAGGCATCTTTACCTCAGCTAAGAACAGTTTCTCAGACTTCAGTTTGCAACTGAGTCAGCAGAAGAACTCCTTCAAAAGCAGTTTGCTGGCTCCACCCCAGTGCTTCTGGCTCAGTGGATCTGGGTGGGGCTGAAGCGTTTGCTTAAACTGCCAGCTGTTACCAATTTGAGAGAAATGCTCACCCGTATGAGGTGCGGTGGTTGGTAGTGATGAGTGAGGCTGAGGGACATGATTGTATCTTCCTGCTCACCTCACTATTGGGCAAAATGCAGGTGCTGGGGAAATTTTTATGTATTAAGACCTCTGTCTCCCCTACACTCCAGCCTGCTTTCTCCTTTTTCTTCCCTCCCCATACCTACTCCCCTTCTTTTTGGGGGGCTACTGAGTTATCTGATACATACAAAATAAATGCACAAATACTGCAACTTCACTCCCTCTTCCTGTTATAAAATGGGAGCGTCAAGCTATCTTACCTATCACAAACACATTAAAAGTAGAGCTTTCACTATATTGTTCGTAGTGGAAAATGTAGGCTAGAGCCATATAAATGGGAGAAAAGGAAGTGCTGTAAGTGAGCTAAGAACTCATCTACTGAAGGAGGAACTCAATTCATAAAATTTAAAGTAGATGCAAGGTAGCATCATGCACTGAATATTTGCAGCTATGGGAAAACCACTTGAAGAATTCAATTCTGAAATTTGAAGAGATTGCCAAGGGATAGGAGGAGCTGAGTTAAAACTCTAGTCTTTCAATACTGCCCAGGTGGTAGTACTAGTGGTCTAGGGATAGAACAATGTTGTTTTTCATATTGTGACCTTCAGTGCCTCATGAATTTCATAATGCTATGACCAGCTAAATATAGTTTTTCTATTTTTATTTTTAAATTTAAATATGTCAGTTTAGATGAACCCAGAGGAGTGAGTTTTCCACCTGGATCCTGACAGGCAATTACCTTCTCAGGGATCCACTAGTCAAAACAGTGATTCCCCAAGGGCAGATCATGTCCTGTGGCTGCTTCCCCAGTGTCCATGCCAGTCACCTGTTCCACAGCTCATTTGGCCCCTTCTTTCACAAATTGGAGGACATACCCCCTTCAAGCATTCACCCATCCACCTTCATCCAAGAGAAACCACCTCTTGCCTTCAAGCTTGGATATCCTCACTCGCAAATGATCCCCCGCCTTTCTAGAACTGCCCTCCACCCCATCCCCACGTCACCTCATTCCTTAGCTTCACTATGACTCTTCTTTTTAAAACTTCAAGCAAATAGTGCAGTTATTTGATCAGAAGATGTCTGAGAAAAATTACCCTGCATCCCTGTTGATTAGGAAACCGTGTCCATCACAAGGACCTGGGCACCTTCATTCTACTGAGTCATAACTTCCCTCCCCACTAATTCTCCTTGGTCCCCTGCCCCCTCCTCCAACTTCAAGAACAAATTAACCCCAGACATTGGATGAGTATCCAAAATGCATAGCAAATTTTCAAACATACAAGAAAAAAGCCAGAATGGCAATGCTGGTCCCCTGGCCTATGTTCCTCCTAGTGACTTAGGCACTTCTCAAGAAAGGTCAGTGAGGAGGCTTGCAACTCCCAGAGGCCTGGATGCTAAACTTTTGGCCACTGGAACAGCATTCTTAACTGCAGTACAAAGCATAATCTTGGCATTTGTTTAAGTCCCTGTCTTGGATAATCTGTTTGAAATCCAAACCTGAAGTGTTGTGTTGGGAGAGAGTGGAATCAGAATTGCAGGGCAGAAGGGCCCAGAGGCACCTGCACTCCTCCCTCAGCAGGGTACATTGTCTGGAGGCTCAGACTAGACAAACAGCCCTGAGTTTAAATCTTGCCTGCCATTTTTGAACTATGAGATTTTAAGCAAATCATACAACATTTTTGAGCCACACTTTCCCCATCTATAAAATGGAGACTATTAATAGCATCTATTTCATGTATTTGTTATGAGGATTAAATGGAATGATGTTCATATAGAGGCTTTGAAAGCCTCTGATTAATTAAACATTAACTTTTTTTTTTTTTTTTGGAGACAGTGTCTCCCTATGTATCCTGGAACTTGTGATCCTCCTGCCTCGGCCTCCCAAGTGCTGGGATTACAGGCATGTCCTTTCATACATTAGGAAATGTTTTTGATTGTGACGATTGACATACTACTGATTAATCAGATTTACTGAATTGTCCGGGACAGAGAAATGAAACCATGAACTGTTAGGAATAAAGACAGTGAAGTGCAAAACTCGATCCCTTCATTGAGAAAGCACACGCAGATGCTTTGGAAGGAGCACTTTGACATTTGGATCACCCTCAACTCAATTCCACGATCATCCACAACTTCACACGGGTCATCACAAGGACATGTGAAATGAAGGCCAGGACTAAATCTAGCAAAAACCAGAGGCGCCCACTCACAGGCCTGTGGGCCCTTGGAAGGGTTAATCATCCTGGGGACAGAGCAAAGCAGTCTGCAGCTTCTCAAGGAGCTATTTTTATCTTGTGTTTTGAGCATCTGACTCAAGCTGGGTAAAAGGGTTTATTCTCTCACTTGGAAAGTTTTCAAAACACCCGAAGGGTTTGGTTAAGAAGGAAATATACCCACTCTGGCCAAATCTTTTTCAGAGTGGTCAAAAAAAAAAAAAAAAAGGCCAGCAAGAAAAAATTCATCATAAATCTGCTTTAGGCAGATTTAGGTCCCCTCATTCAGGGGACATTGTCATTTGTTTATCAGTAGCAGACAGCAGCTTCCTGCAACCAGCAGCAGCTGTCACCCTGAAAAAAGACATCTTTTCATTTTCATGAAAAGTAGTGAAAATTTTAAGGCAAAGCAAATGACAAAATATTTGACTGTATTTATCTGGGTTTTGGCTATTTTTACCCATGCCTGCAAATGCCTTTCAGGCTTCCCTGACAACATCTTACTTTTTTATTCTCCTTCTACTTAGCAGCCAAGGTGCAAGTGTTGCCACTTACAGTTTTCAGATGGGGAAGCTGAGACCCTGAAACCTAAGTATTTTGAATATGATGGGGCCATGCAGAGCTGGAGACTACTGTAAGGTTGACTTGAAGCTACTTCCTGTCCCAAGGGAGGGACAACGGCCATTGGGGAGATGGGAAAGAATACCAGTTCTGTGGATGTGGACCTGAACAGAGCAAAGCAGCTAATGTGAGACTTAATTGCTGCTCCCTTCCCCAATGAAGAAAATGATATATAAACTCACAGAATTGTCTGTTTGCAATGGAATTTTGTTTTCTCAGCCAAAAATAAAGAATGAGATTCCATATTTATTCATGCAGTTTACTCCCCACAATTCCTGTTTTACACATTCAAAGTCTGGGTAAACTCTTCTGTTGTAACACTTCTGCCAGGCTACATAATTCTTTCTTCATCCAGAGTTACTTGGTAAAGTGACTGTACCCATTCAGTCATTCATAGATCTTATACCAGGACCCTGCTATAGGGGATAGGCATGGGGACCTGGGGACTCAAAAATGAATGAATCTCAGTTCCTAACATCAAGGGTTCAGACCCTACATGGGGAAACTGACATGGCATGTACACAAGTGGGAGATCTATAAAGCAATATCTTGGGATCCATGGAAATTATTACCTGTGATGGGTACAGAAAGGCTATCTTCTCTCTTGGGCACTTCCGGTTGCCCCTCTCTTCCTTTTCCCCTTTATCCATCCCCTCACCGGTGTTGCCATTTCTCCTGCATCTCCCTCACTGTACTTCATATCATATCTCTATCCCTACAATTATTATCCCAGATCAGAGAACAGGTTTGTGCATATAATACTGATTTTTCCAGATGTCTTGCTCATAAGCAGTTCTTTTGTAGAGTAAAATCAATGTTAATTCTTTAAAGCAAAGCAACATTAAAGTCTTTTTTTTCCTGGATCAAATTCTGAAGATTATAATCCATGATGGATACTAAAATGAGAAAGGATCCCTGGACCTAACTTGTTCTAATTTTTATTCATCTGATTTATAGAGTTGATAGGTGAGGCAATGTTCTCATTTCTGGATTGGGGATATGCTGACAGCTCCATCCATCAAGCAAGTTGTCAGTGCACAAAGCTTCAGAGAAGCTGTTAGACAAAGGTCCAGCTGGTTAACACTGCCAGGAGATGAGAAAGAAGGAAGTTAACCTCAGTGCCCAGAGAAAAGCATTTTGTTCACCCAGTGGACATAGCAGTAAAGCCTTCAGACAGAGATATTAGCATTTGAAGAAGAATTCCAAATGTCAGTCTATATTTCTTCTTCCTTTATGATCCTAGAGTTGATCCCTGCTTGAAATATATTGATAATCAGACAGCAATGACAATCTTACTGAAACTAGGATTTATCTTCATTAGCAAAGTTAAAGACTCTTTATGTGTATAAATACAGGGCAGAGAAAAAAGAGGGTATGTAATCCTACATCCACAGTTATGCTGATACACTCAGGAGCTGGATTGTGGCTAGAGAACACAATTAGAGCATAAGAGGACAGTGACCATTTACTATCACATGATAATTTGGTTAGTGGATCATTTTAGGATATTCTGAAGAATTTTAAGCATATTTTTTAGCTACTAAGTATATATATATATTTCTTTTTTTCTTTCCTTTCAACATCTTTTAGTGGTTTTGGATCTTTCTGAATTTTGGATCATCCAAGTTCCCCAAGGACAGAGAGATAACCCACTAGAGCATGAGAGAAACATACAGAATGACCTCTTCGGAAATCAAGGTCAGATAGACAGTAAGAGAGACCAATGCTCTTGGAGAGCTAGTCATGCTTGTGACCTGGAGAATAGCTTCTAGAATGGGGGCCCATGCAAGAGCAATACAAAAGGGTCCTCGCCAACAGGTGGCACTGCGATCTTTGGCAATTTGAACTTTGTGGGTGCCATTTGTTCATCAGGCTAAGCAAAGTGGAGCAATTCCCTTTGATCGTCTTCCCTGTCCTCATTTGACTTCACTGAGTCATTTCACGCTGTATCATGGAACTCTGCTGCAGAAAGAGGCTAAAAGAAAGCTCCAAAACCATGTGGCTACTGCCAGGTTAACTTGCC